CGCGAGGGTCGAAGCGGACGCGGTGGTCGGCCTGGGCCTGGGCGGCCGTCAGCAGGTCGGCGAAGAAGCGGTGCCGGCGGAGGGCGAGCTCGTCGCGGCCCACGGGGGTGGCGGGCGGCTCCTGGGTGCCGTCGCGCTCCCGGGGCGCCAGGGCGGGCAGCATGTCCGGCGGCAGGTCGGGCGACGAGGCCGACGAGTCGTCGCCGTCGAGGAGGCCGCCGCCCAGGCCGAGGACCGCGTCGACGACGACGCTGGCCCGTTTGCCCGGGTACGGCGTCGAGGTCATGAGCGAGCGCGGCGTGAGCGGCTCGAGCAGCACCGAGGCGTCCATGCCCAGCTCGGCGAGCTCCGCGTCCACGCTCGCGTCCACGCGCAGCCCCAGGGCGTTCAGGGTGCGCATCTTGGGCTGCTCGGCGTCCTCCGTCACCTCCTCATCGCCGTCCGGGCAACTCGACGGCGTCTTGTCCTTGACATCGGCGCTGGGCGCGCTCGGCGCGCTGGGCGCGCTGGGCGTGTCCGCCGACGGCGAGCTGGTCTTCTTGGCGTCCTCCTCGTCGCTGCCGCTGTCCTGGCTGCCCTTCCTGCCGCAGCCGAGGCACTTGAGCATAGCAGGAGGGGAGGGGCCCGCGGGGGGGCTCCCGGCTACCTCATCGGCTGAGCAAAGCTGTTGGAAAAATGTTTTCCTTCGTCGATTTTCGCGATCCAAACCACAAGGCGGTGGTATCCTCAGGGGAGGGGATCTCTCGTGCAGTAACCCCCCTCCCCCCTTTCCCCCAGTGTGGCGTGGCGTGGCGCTGTGCCCCCGGCTCCTCCCGTTCCTTTGAGCCTCCTACACCACTCCTGCCATGATGCTCCTCGGTCCCAGTGGGCCACCTGTCCCCCTACACATACCCCAAGCTCGAACCCCCTGGAGAGTACATGGCAGACCCTCCCATGGCCGGGGCCGCAGGGGTTCAAGGAGGGTAACCTCTCCGCATAAAAGTCTCCCCACGTTTTTATTCGGATTAGGTACGACCCCAGGGCATGATTACAGTTCAAAGCGCACCCCTCCCCCCTTTCTTCTTTTCCCTTTGCATCCTCCCCTGTCATCTCCTCCGTGCATACCCGGCTAAGGTGAACAAGGGTCGTAAGACCAGGAGCGCCTCTAGTCTCATGCCAGAACCACGGATGCTGATAACGCGGACTAGCAGCTGCTACCAGGCTGAGATTCTTTTAAGCCTAGGATTATTCCCTAGAATAAAGAGGATAAGAGATTGGGGGTTGGGTGAATGGGAAATTGGAAGGAGAGGAGGAAGAGGGGGGGGGTCGTGGCGTGGAAATTGAGGTTCGAGAGAGCGTCGCGTCGGTCGCCGTCAGTAGGGCCAGTGGAGGCGGCATTTCGGATGTCGAAGGGAGCTTTCGCAATCCCATCAGGGCGTTCCACCGCAGCGCAGCGACCGGCTCGCTGCCGGCGCTGCTGCTGCTGCTGTCTCGCAAGGAAGCGCGGCGGGGCGGGGCGGGGCGGGACGACGGATTCCG